TGAAAAATTTAAATTTTATAATTTATTAGAAAAAAGGTAATTACATTTGTTGAATTGTCGAATTGGCAAGATGAGTGAAATAGAATGTTATTCAATGAAATTAATGAAAATTGAACCAATAAGATATTATAGAAGATTAATTAAAAACTCACAGATGTCTGAAAGTACGAGTTTGAATGAATGAAATCGGTATATTTGCAACGTTTTTGACGAATTTGAAGCATCTAAAGTTCTATCATGAAGGCTTAAAAATCTGTGGTTTTGGCGCTCCAATGCATGATGTGTGCTTATAAACGAACTGGTGACTTACAAACAAAAAATTGTGCTAAATGGAGATCCCTTAAAGTATTACTTCAATTTGAGTGATTGAGATTATGTTTTCAAATTTGCTAAAAATATCTCGATGCCGTTGACTAACATTCTAAAGCACGATTTATTATTAAATTAAGCTCCACCATCCGTTCCATCAGGGACTGTAGTAGTAATCGAAGAAATTGATCAAGACTTTACGAAATTATATTTATAGCTTATCTTGTTGTGTTATACTTCTCCATAAAAAATAACACAAATGGAAGTATGGAGCAAGTTCCCAAATTAAGACGAAATAAAATTTCCGAAATTAGTATTTTAAATACCAGGTAGAGAAAGGATTGCATTACAATTTTTCTCGCTTTGCGTGGAAAACGATCTTTACAATGTTAAATTATTCGCAGATGCGAATTTATTTAAAAATCGTTCACTTTGAATGACTAACATACTTAATGAGTAAGATATCCTTTATCTTCTAAAGTAGCCGAGGTAGCATGATATTCTGGGCTACAGTTATTTAGCTAAAACAGCCAAGATTTTGACTGAATTATTGAAAAAAGGGGTTCCAGAAGAAATGTACAAACTTGGCAGTGAATCGAAGAGAATAACGATAATTACCAAGAGATTTATTACTTCACATCTACAATGGTTAAGCTAAAACAGTTCACGAAATAGCATGACATATTGCTGAAATAATCGACTTAAAATAGACCTAAAACGCTTACAAGATCCCCATCCCAAGTTCCTCCAAACAGACAAATATTGAACTTTTAAGAACCATGAAAAGCACTTGACACAATGCATTTTTAGCCCATTGACCTGTATTCATTCAATCTCAACATTTACCATAATGCAATTAAGGCAATTTTGATTCACCAAGAACTATAGTAGTAAATGGATGAACCTATCATTCTGATGCCCTTTGATCAATCATATTTGAATGACACCAATGAGCAAGCTTAAACGAAGTATCGATTTGTTTCAATAAATTTACTATCCATTTATAGGAGGCATAATGAATCAAAAATTAACCCTAAAAGGTGATATTTTGGCCCACTTAATGGCCAAGAGAGCGAAATTCATTTTCAGTCGGAAGAAATAATTTCGGCATGAAGAGGAGTAGATGTAAGCAGCAAACATACACTCTGAAACTTGGTACGAAATTGCACGAATTCCATTCCAAGTAGAGAATCGATTTAAGCCCCCTCCCAGAAAGGCGATACTTTCCTTAGATCTGATCAAGGGTCAGTATTAATCTACAGGCTTGGCAGAGGAAAATTATTAAAGCGACGGGGTTACAAAGCTGTTTGCAAAGACATCGTTTTAGTTGAAAGAGTGGGATGTTCTAAGACAATGTGGTAATGGGAAGCGACGTTTTTCGTTCCGCCTCAAAAATACACTTAAAATAGATCAATAACATTGACGAAATTTCCTTTATCATATAAAGGAACTCGTTGTTACCAGAACGCACATTAAATTAAGACATTCGTAACTAATAGGTAGCTATTGAGGCTGCGTTTCGTCTCCAAACAATCGGTTTGAGTTCATATCTGAGGGGCTAATACGCCAAAGTGTTCCTGAGTTCCTTTAGGTGATAAAATTTACTTGGTTGAAAAACATGGAGTTAAAATTTAGATTTAAAACGATATCGAATTTTGTGTGTATGCGCATTATTTGCGTTGCTAAACAAGTTTAATTTGATAAAATATGATGCACTACTTTCAAATAGCATTTGCGTTACAGGTAGTAGTTTAGTTAAATACAAAGGTTTCTAGTTAATAATAAATGACTTCAATATTGACAAATATGGGAAATATATAATCCTTTCCGAAAATCAAAGAACTTCAATAGCGTTTTATAGGATTTCAAAAAGGAAACATTGAAGATCATTGCCTTTCATCGAATGGTGGCAAATTATAAATTTTATTCTGCATCTAGTATTTCGAAGGTATCGATCAATCAGGTTATTATTGATGTGGTAAGTCAAAAGCGAATCACTGCAACACAACCAAGTTTGCAATAAACTCAAATATCAAACAAGGTCCGAATAAGGCAACAATTCATCAAGATACTGGAAATAAGATCATGGGAAGTGAGCATTGAAACACGTGGGTATTACAAAGTGGAAAACGTGGACAAACTACTTGTTGTCATAACGACTGCCTATTCAATCACGAATGCTCCTCCAAAAGTGTATATTCTTCCACTTCGCTTGTTCAGATGCCATGCTAAGATATATATATATATCTATATATTTAAACATCCTCTTCTACAATATTCCTCTAATAAAATGTTGTCTTAGGATATCAGAGTACACCTAAGTTGAATCGAGTTATTTTAGTTAAAAATCTTGGCTTATGTCTATCGGGAATTCCGCAGCTATGAAGGTGAGTAAGGAATCACCACATAAAGTTAAAAAAGCATGATTTCTTCTGTTTACAAAAAAAATCAGAACGGAGAAGTGATAATGAAAATTATAAAAAACTTTTATTGAGAAAAAAGTAGCTTTGCATAATATGCAGTCTCCAAAATCTTGTCATAATAAATAAGCCGCTGTTATTTCAAACCAATAATATCTCATGATATCAAAAGGTTACTGATCAATACCGCAGATTAAAATGGAAATACTCAAGAAAATAAAGAACTGCTACCTATTCGCAACCTTTTCAACTCATACTCCAAATTTTAACTGGGCCAGCTCATTTACTCTAACCGAATTAACAAAAATAATTTAATGCACACAGTTACATTTCAGTTCCACTATGTTTCAATCACGTGAACTGGTTAGTACAACACGAAATGGTCCAGCTTCCTCCGTCCTTGAAAGAAAAAATTACCGGAAGTGCAAACGTCGAACATCGTAATTAAATACTCGACCAATGGGTACTGGACGCGGTGGATAAGAACTTGCTCGGAAGTCCAGTCGATGAACCATGAAATAATGATTCAGAAAACCGAATTACTCATTAAATACTAGATAATACGAATCCGAAAATCCTCAAAGTTGTTCAAATAAACCATTTACCCCCCCCCCCCACTAAAGTTTAGTCGCTGACTCACAATGAAAGCTTTAAGTAATTGCCTTTCTGTAGACCAGGATTGATTCTTAAGGAGTCTTAACGCTTGCCATTAAAATTACCAATGTTTAATCGGTTAGTCCCAAGTAAATATTGGTAACTTGCTCACTTGTAGATGAAACCTTCTAAGTGCTAAAGTGTAACAATAGAAAAAATAAATTGAAAAGGTTTTCATAAAAATAACTAACACTACTTGGCAGTTAAAAAACAATGAAAATTGATTAGGAATTTTTTAATATTATGATACTACATAAACAATAGAGTAGAATAAATAGGAAGTAATGGGTCATGAAGATGCAAACAGCGATTGCATCTGTCTGACTAAAACAAAAGAGGAAAATATCAACTATTTTTTTTCAACACCACATACATTTTTGCATTTTGACGTAAGTAAAAAGAAAACAAAAAATGAAGCATATATGGAAGTGTACCTAAACTTAAGCAACAACCGAAAGTTACGGACTTGAAGCATTTATAAGTGAGTGCTTATTTTCCACGTCACCTTTAAGAAAACAACATAATTAAAGCAACATGCTGTGACTACATAGCTAACATGACTAGTAAACTCAGCTGATCGATATGAGCTGAATGCTTGCATTACGCTGAGAATGTCAGCATTGACAAGTCCAAATTTCTTCTCCCTTATTATTTGCTCCAAACCAACACTCGATATAAACAGCCATAAATAAACCCATTCTTACCTTTGTATCCTTTAACACCAGCTTTCATACTCTTATGTATCTACGCCCTTTCAATCTATATTGTCTACTTAATTGTCTACTAAGCATTTATTTGCCTAGACCATTCTTCGCCCTCTACCCCACCACCACCCCCAACATCAAGATGAAGGATAAATATTTTTTAAAAAAACATTGGAGTGAAATATATTAAACAAACTGTGAAAGTAATAAAATAGTGTCACTTTTTGTCAGTGTGAAAGTAGTCGCCTCACGGCACTACCGACACTAATAAATCGAAAATTTATTGAAAAGAACCGGAAAAAAGTCGAATGATTTGTTAAACGATTTGCGAATTGAGAAAAATTAAATACATTAAACTCTTGAATACAAGATGACAAGAAGGAGTATTAGGGCTCTTAAAGAGAAGATCAATCTCAAACCAAAGAAAACGGATCACAATATTTCCCCTTTAAATCTCCCATCTTGCTATTTTTTTTCTGTTGATTTGTGTGCACCTATCCGTTTGGGAATTTTAATTATTTGGTTAGCGCCCATGGACCCTGAACTTATAACCTCTTATTTGACAGAGTGACATTAGTTAGAACAGCCTCCTTATTGATTTCTATGTAAAGTTACAATTTGGCTTTTATCATAATGACATTATAGCGTTAAGTGTTGGCAATAAATATGCCAATAGATGATAATTTGTTTGCAAAGGCATGTGTATGTGTTAATTTTATAAATACCGCAATGGATGTTTGTTCATATTCTTAGTGACAACTTTAATGATTGAACATTACCAAGACCGGGTTGACTTATATCTTAAGGAGAAGGAAAGCTCTATTATTTTAGCTTTACAAATTTTAGACATCTACCAATGAAGTAGAGCACAAATCTAGCCCAAACTAAGTGTAAAAAGTACTATCAGACCCTTTTATCCCAAATGCATGCAGAGCGGACAAGAACAACGGATAAGATAGGAGAGGATGAATTGAAAGAGCAACCATGGAAAGGGTAACACAGGGAGGTAGCATGCCGACGCACCAGTGGAAGCATTGGTGTGAGTGCAAGGAACTTGGAACTTGAGATCCTCCACCCGATTGCTTGTATTGCACTGGCCTCCGGGGGGTTTCGGCACATAATCCACGAAGGGAGTACTTTGAATAGTCACAACCTATAACACAGAAGTTGGCCAGGCTTTATATTGAGACTATTAAAAATTTGTATTTCCTTTATAAATTGACATTTCACCGACTCATAGACCTTTTGATGAAATTTCATGTGATGATAACTATTTAATGAGACTCATTCAAATAAACAAGGGATTCTAAGTAGTTAACTCATTTATTTGCATTACATTATACAATTTGAACTCTTTTTGGGTTCTGCCCCGTAGCTTTACACTAGGATTTAGTAAATCTCAGATCTCCTAATCAATAGCAAATTCATTTGTGATTCAAGTGTGTATGCTGCAACACATTTAGAACAATCATACGATTTCCATTGTGTCTTCCTCAAAATAATGTTTATATTCAAAAAGCCGTCCAAAGCATCTCACTCACGACTCCTATTTTCCTGACCTAACACATCAATCACTAATATTCGTCTAAAGGGGGGAGCCTAAGGTAGCCTACTCTTTATCTGCCATTGCGGGTTATGTCGACTGAGGAGAGAGTCATAACTCTGTGTCATTCAATCATTATCGATCATTAGTTCTGTTGGTTACTCAGCAGTTCCCCATAAGGTGGTTTAAAAATTGCTACCTAGTTCATGAACATAACTCTGTTAGTTTCCCATTATTCATATATTGCCTTTTGTTCCTTTCAAAGTAAATAGAATAAAGGTTCTATTTCATATTCAAATATATATATATATATATATATATATATATATATATTTCTGTAACCTAACAGTTAATAATTTCAATAAAGAATTCAGACCCTACCTTCAGGTGGGTCTTCTTCTTGGAACTGGGTGGTGGACGAGGACGCATTGCTCGTTCGATGCATTCGTTCGTCCGAGGATTCCTTTTCGTACAGATATCGGATGGTTTCAAAACGCGATAGTTGCCTGGCCAGTAGATGCGCTCTGTTTCAATTGAGAATTGAGACTTTGTAGGACCTCTCTTTGCCTAAAAGACCAAGTCACGGCATTGTATGAAGTGAATGAAACTAGGATACTCAAACTTACTTCATGCAGTAAAATGGATTACAAAACCGAGTAGACAATTAAGCTTGCTTCTATTAATTACCTGATTATTTTTTACCACAATCTCCTATTAGTGAAATGAGTATTCAAAAGATATTGAACAGTTCGACTCAAACGAAGGGCTTGACCTTTTATGCAACCTCTGGTGATCATTTTCATGGAGTCGCATTTACATTTCAAAAAGATGGGAGCTTTATAACTATCCTCGATAATAACTAAATAGAGTTAATTTGAAAAAGTGCATTCAAGGAATATTATTTATTATTGATTTGTAAGGACTTTGTTGCACTTTCTTTGATTATTCGTTATTTTCAGAAACTAATTAACACTGAATTAATTTCATCATTTTTTAATCAGATTTCAAACATCTTAAACTCTTACAAGAGCACAAAATATTCACCTTAAGTTTATACATAAACTAGAAGTGAAAGATCATATTTTCTAACTAGGGTAACGATGGATAAGGCTTGAGGGAGAGTCGATGAATTAACATTTCAGAGAGAGAGAGATTGAGGGAGAGAGAAATTTAAATAAACCCAATCCACACAAACACAAAAATAATACTTTTAGGATTGTATAGTGATTGAACTGTGGTTGGTGCTAAAAAATGTAGACATCAACGCTATTATACCAGAACCTAGATCATTTATCACAAAGAAAAAATAAACCTGGGTTTTATTCTCGATTCGAAACCTGCTTTTTGTGGAGTTGTGGCTAAAACTGTAGAATACTGATACTTGCCAGCGATTAAGTTTGATAGAACGCTAATATTAATAAAGATGCTTAATCCCACGACACAGATTTGCTTCAGTCCATTTGGTTAAAAGGCCGCCGCAAAATGGAGTCTAGAGGTGGGCAAGACAACTTTCAAACTAGTATCAATCTACGAAATGGAGAAAGGAATATGTGAAATTTCGAACGAATTGTTTGGTTCAAGATAAGATTAGAGCCTCCATAGATAGAAATACTTTGATGGTTCTTTTCGGTTCCCAATTTGAATATGCTTGGTCGTGTTTTTATTTTCGTGAGTATGCATTCTGAGTTCGATTCTGATAACTAAAAGTATATATATCCTAAGCGAACCATGTGTAATTCGACTAGATCAGTTTTCTGAAAACATTTTTTGGCCAGTACATTCGAATATCCACAATATTGGATGTGCATCAGTGAACACGTATGCCCTCTGATGTACATATAAAATGAACCCATTAATACTGGTGTCACTAATAGTACAAGAGGTTACCATTGAGAGAAGTATAAATCCGCCAATTATCACTATTTATTAAAACAAATAGTAAATTCGCTTCCAACTTTGTGATATTTGACTACTTGAAAACAGTAGCGGGTCGGCTTTCAAACCTTTAATCAAAGAGTACTTAATGGCCAGGCCGCTTAATAGAGCAGTTGACTCCTTTTAAAAAATGTAACCTTGAAATGAAGTAAATAATTATGAATGAGGGGAGGGAGGGGGGGGGCAATTATTCTACTTTCACCCAAAACGGAATGAAATTGCGCACATCCTCTAAGCCAGATGCAGTACAATTTAAAGGGGCGAAAAATATTGCCCCTGAAATGAAAATTATTTTGAAATTTTCATTATTGTTAAAAAGTGTACTATGGTCTATCTAATTTCAAATATTTTATTACGATTATTCAAAGTCCTAAAATTCACCAAGTGTCACCAATATAGCACTCATTACCCGATTTAGACAATAAAAAATAAAAGTGGGCAGAAAATAGGTAAATATTACTTCTTTTATCGAGTGATTGTTAAACTCCACTGGTCTAGATTTACCTCAAAGAAAGCAATATAACTTAATAGTTCTATTTATACATGTAACCTTGACAAAATCTAAATAATCAACACCATTGTCACATGAATGAAAAAATCTTGTTTTAGCCAGCAACAATTATAGCCAGAGGTAACTTTTATAAACAGATACAAAGGAGCCGGTCAGGAGTAGACAATTCAGGATATCATCAGTTTTTCAAACTCCTTAAAACTATCAAACTATCCTCCATGTTGAACAATTAATCAAATATTGTGGAATAATTCACCAAAAGCTAAATTGATCTATTGCAATAACTCATCATAAGTACATATAACTTGGAAATGCTTAAACCCCAATCCCTTGAAATTGATATTTGGAAATTGAATTTCAGTGTGGAAGGAAAAATTATGAAAATCGAAAATTGTTTCTTCCCCTCCACCCGACATCGGATGTAGGAGCCTTTTACTGGAACTGTGCTTTTAAAACGCATTCAAACATTGCAATAGCAATGAATTATACTTTGAAATTATCAAAAGTGAAGAGCAACACTGAATGAAAAATGGGGTGGGCGAAAGTATTAAAACACCATCGGCTATTCCAAGAACTTACACTATTTTGCTATTCAATCAGGGTATTATCAACTATTTTAAACGAGCTGTGGGGAGGGAGATGGAATACTGTAATAAGAGCACAGCATTAATAATGGCCACTAAAATGATATCAGTACCAGAAGATTTTACAAGGAATTGACTGACCTGGACATATTTGCCGACTGAGTTGATTACTGGTTTGCAAGATTTAGGAGTACCACAATTACCATGAGGTTGAACATTAACGATATCGTAGAGAGCACCCACTCGATCTCCATGAGAATCAAACTCAACATGACCTGTCTCTCCATCTTCAAAAATCACTTCCGTCATAGCCCTACAATCGACAAATTATTAACTCACATTCCAACTTACTGGTAGAGCTTAGTATTATAGCGTAGCCATGATTGTGAAAGATTGCGGGGCGACTCAAGCTCTTGTCTGCAATGATGGACCGATTGTAATCCGAACATGGCATTTGGTTCTCGGCGAGTAAATTTAATTATCCCCTCCGTTACTACTCGAGCAGCATCCTCGACGTGTAATAATTCATCAGACTGTGCTAGTCGTACGCTCAATACGCCTGAAAATTGGATCGATAAAGATTATTACAAACTAAGCAAATGTGTAAAATCATGTCTACTTAAAGTATTTTAGTAAAGTCGAATTTACCTAACGGAAGATTCTTCGCTCCTAAGCACTGTTCAGATATAATCCAAGCCCATTCCTTGCCAATAATTCCCAAATGATCAGCAACAGTAAAGACATGTTCAGCATATCGACGGGTGACAAATAGGAGGATCACTCGTGTCTGGCCCTTTCGGATGGAGTCTAATTTGTTCTGAAGTTCTTTTAGGTTTACTACATCTTCCTCATCTGTATTGACACCGATAGTTTGAGCGATCTAATATGGATTCATTTTCAAATAAGAAAGTGAAAAAACCTATCTTCAAATGTTAATTGAGATAAATAAAACGGGACATGCTATTTCCTTTGTGTTGCAGCGTACTCTTGCTAAGTAAAAGCAGTAAGAAATTTTGTCAATGCTTATGAAAATTAATGAAGACATGTTATATCGTCTAGAAAGTTTAAAGAGATTTTAATGCTCACAAAAGAAGAAATATCCATCTAGTTATGCACAAAGGTTCATTTTCCCGATTTCTTTTCTTCTATAATAACTACCTTAAAATTGGCTGAAATGACAGGAAACTAACTTAAATACCAAAGTTATTCACTTGTACATAAATAGTTCCACATTCTTAATGAAGAAAGCAGAAACAATGTATTGAGGTACAGATCGCTCTTCTGAGCAACTTTTGAATTATGTGTACATGAGACTACAAGGCTTTTTAGCAGGTGCAGTTAGTATTGTTTTAAAATGGTTTGGGCTTTTTTTAACCCCGGGAAATCTTTAATACAGCGCAACCAGGAACTTTGGATATATTAGTTTGTTAAAACTATATCTGCAATAAATATCACCTAATATCTGAGAATTCAGTGTGGATAACAAATTACTAGTTACACCGCAGAATTAGTTCTTAAGCATCAAGGCTAAAAGAAGGAAGAAAGCAGACCGAAAGCAAGATTAAATGCCTGAGCAAATCGGCACAGAGTTTGGCTTCAGAAACTCCAAAAAAGTGCAAACAAAGGCAGAAATTAATATCTCGATTACTTTTATACCAAGATTTAGCAAAATTAGAAAAAGTGTGCGTAAAGGTGATCATTAACTCTATATGTTGTCTATTCTCACCGAGCGATTGCGAAATGAGAAAGCATAAGAGAGAAAAGAGAAAAATTGGCATTCATTTGGTAAGTTTTTCAGCATAAATACACAATAACGGAATACTCTCAAGGACTGGAGATGACATTTTCATCACTCTCTCTTGTCTCTTATAAATTTAAAGCAACCAGAAATAGGTAAACGAATTCATGGAATTGATTTATTCATTGGTTTTTTCTGGGAACATTTGCTTTATGACGCCAAGTTGCCATTTTAAAAAGTTATAAATACTAGACTCAAGGTGAAGGAAAGACAAAGACCCATTGCCTAATAGGGAAAATAACTTTGCTTTTAGGGATTTGAAGAAGCGATAAATGATTGGCTGCTTGGTCAGTCAATTTTTGCTGCGATGATCGTTTCAGCCTATGCCCGACATATTCAGGCACAAGCATAGAACTTAAATAATTGATAATGCGTACATAATGGAAATTTTATTAGCAAGAGTAGGCTTCTCGTGGCATTTCATGGAGCTTTAGGTATGTTGTTAATGCGTGCTCTCATTACTGTTCAATAAATATTGTGATAGTGATTTATAAAAGTAATAATAGCCATGAACTTACCTTGAAGTCCACTGTCTGTCGTGCAGCCTCTAGACTGGCAATGAGCGCCTTGGAGTCATGACTATTGTCCGAATGAATGATGATCACTTCATGCCATTCAAAGGTATCGATGAGTTGTGCCCAGATTGCTGCCTCCTGGACGTAGGGTGGAACTGTTCTCAGGAAACTTGCATGCGCATACTTGTTGCTGAATGCTGCTTGTCGTGCACTTACGCCTTAAAACAAAAAAGGGATCAAGCCGATTAAAAGTAATATGTCTTGAAGCAGCTCTTCTAACTGAGAACTTCTAGAACGATGCTTGACAAACTTTATTGAACTTGAAATAACCTAGTAAGTTACTCTACTTGAAAAGACTGAGTCGAGATGGCGACCCACCACTCAGCTTGACTGCATGGCCACTAAGCTCTATATTCATATGAGGGAACCTTGAGGTCTAATTAGTAATGAAAGATTCGAATTAATCACGGCTCCTGACCCACCCCTGCATAATTTATCATTGTCTATTATGTTGCTTTTTCTTTCTCTTGCTTTCAAATTCTAGTGCATTGAAAACAGTGTTATGCGAGGCCTTATTAATCCCTCTTCTGAAGATTTACAGTCCTTTTAAGCCAACGGCGTTGCAATATTAGTTGTACCACTATTATAACATTTTATTTCAAATATTTAAATCCGATCCAAAACTAAGGCAAGCGGCTTTAACCCTATCAGATCAAGTGAATAACGAGGAGGAAAAAGGACAAACAAATCTCAATATCTACAATAAGTCCCCACATGTCACAAATCCCCTTTACTTAAGTTGAATACAATATTCTTCCACCACAAGCCTCCTTCCACAATTCCATCTTCAGAAGAGAATCTAACATACGATTTGTGATTAAATGGATACTGCAAATAATTCGAATAATTCATTATCGGCACTTTTGAAGTATGTGTTTGACTAAATCCTTCAAGTAGTCAATTGAATTGCTTTAGAATACATAAAATTATTTAGCATGAAAGGTAGCCATGTGGGAAGAAAGGTAGGAGTAAGGAGTCCTCTCACTGCCAATATTTTACCCCACTGATAGAATTACAGATAAGTAATGATTATTGGATTGTAAAACAGTAACTGAAATTGGCTAACAGATACCAAAAAAGATGGGTAGTTCGCATTTTAAATTTAAATTGAAAGTTTAAATATGTCACTCGGTGCTTATTTGTGCTTTCTTTTAAACATTTATTATTTATTTATATCAAATGGCAGGCTTTAAATATTATTACTTATTTATGATAGTTATCATTAACCCTTTAGTTGACTTCAGGCTTCACGGAGGGAGAGGAACATCAAATTAAAAAAGCCGAGTTGGCTGGGAGTACAGAAGAGTGTTTCAAAGATGTAAAAGAGGCAGACACAAAGGTAGAAAAAAGGTGAGGCGAGTGATGTGGAGGTAGTTGAATATGGCATAGAGTGAGGTGATGGTAGTTTGTAGTGAGCCGTCAACTGCCAGTTAATAGGCTTTTTTGTCGTATGAGTATAGGTTGCCCAGGGTGCACCACGTGGAGGTAAGTCTATCGCACTCCCCTTTTTTAAACATGACGATCGGTTTTGCTGCTTTTATTTATTTGTTCTTCCGATTATCTAAAAGGCAGACCATCATGCATGATATTCAGAAGCTTCCAGTTTTAACATGACGGAGGTGAGAAAGCTCTAATAATCTGTGTGATTATTCATGGTGGATACGAGTTAATAATCATCTGACTGGAACTTTAAAGCATTAAAATACTCATTCAAAAATTCGATCGAAATAATGGTTCCCTTGATACCCCCTCACTTTATTCTTACTCTTGCTTCTTTCTCCCTTTATTGGGCCATTTTGTTGGTTGTAGTTTTGGGAACCACTCTTCGTTTGACAAATATGATTTTTTACCTCGTCATGAGTAAAATTAATTGGACAAATAACAAAAAGGAACTCACAAGCAAGAATTGACGCTTGGTTAATAACTTAATATTCCATAAACCTAATAAGTTTTAAGTGATCCTTTTACCTTAATTGTCCATTTACCATTTAGGGAAGATAAAAAAGACGCCACAGGTTTAATTATTCAGACCCCAAGGCCAAAAGAGTTGGGCGAACCAATGAGAAAGGAGGCAGAAGCTTGGTGAATGACGACTTAGAAGTTGCGCAAGTGTATATTTTACAAAATAGCTAATGTGACGCCTTGTAAAAGGGAGACAAGGAAAATAAGGAAGCAGTATTAAATTGCTTATTTAATCAAAGACGAAAAAAAGGACAAGACGAGTAAGTATTTTCAAGCATCCATTTAAAAAAATGGAAGAACAGCAGGGTTTTAGAATAATGAAAACGGTAATGAATTAATGTGGTAAGACTAAAACACAGGCCAATAAGTATAGAACGTCGTAGAGACAAGAAATCCAAAGGATTAGTTCGATCTTTTGGAAGCATCAAATATCCTACTGGTAAAGTGATGTAACAACCGAACTGAAAACTAAAGTACAATGAAAGTGGTAAGTATTGATCAAATGCAAGCAAAGTCCTACAATTTCGCAAATGTAGCTTTGCACCAATAGGCCTAGTAAGTCTGTAATATGCAACTCACGATGCGACCAAAGGAACACATTTAATTCAATTAAATAATTGTTCCTAGTTTGAGTGCTTTTCGGATACTTACATGCTTTACTTATCTAAACATGATAAACCAATTAAATGACACATTCAAATTCGAATTAGTCAAAGGAGAAGGCCAATGCCGCCTGAGAATATTAATATCACGTTAGCGATGTGGACTATTTTTATACAGAACATTAAAATAGGAATTGTTGACCTATAAAATGGTTATTTTCTGTTATATGTTGCTGAAGTAGGTCCTTTATGTAATAGTGAATAGCCAATAAAAGAAGAAAGTTGAAAAAGAAGATATAGTTTCACAAATAAGTCAAGCCAATAGTCTTGCGTAAAGCACCACAAAAATAGTGATAACAAGCAAAGAATTGTGGCTGTGCGTGAAAAAGGACTGCTCGGCTAGTCCCCTATTAAAGTTAATTCAAGCTACGATAAGTGTTCTCAATTAAGGATAGTATTGTTGTAAGCATGTAAATTCAATAAACGCAATACTCGCTACATACCCATACTCATTCAGGAGGCTTTCCATACTAAGGTACTTTGACATAGGGATTACAGAGAAAAGTCAAGGCTTATTTGTATAGTAATCCGCTATAATGTAGAGAGCAAATAAGGAAAAGTAGCATATATCCCGTAATTACACACCTAATTCAATATAAAAAAGGATTCGAAAATAGTAAAATGAAAAGCATTAGATAGATGTGATAATAGTGAAAAATTAACGCAACCTACAAATAACTGGTAGCCCATAAAGTGCAGCAATATAGGAAATAGAAAGTGGAGGAACCGATGGAGAATTTGGAGGATTCGAGACGACCACAGCAAAAAGACGAGCATTTCCGGCAGAAATCATCGAGCACAACTGTTTGGTTGCTGTCAGGGCATTTGAGGCAAGGATCTAATGGTAATTGAAATCCAGGTTAAGCAACAAAAGCAACGTATTTGGAATCGAGATAAATTTTTAATTCATATGTTGAAAATATGCATAAAATGACAGTGTGCTAACCTCGGTAAGCGCTGTAAATGATATTTGTTTATCACTAACATGAGCACGAACATCACTGATAGATGAGTTAAAATGCTTCATGGACATGGTGCTGCTTAGTAATGCTCCAATAGTAAAGTGTACATTGCTGTCTGTAGATTTGGATGCAGGAAACGTTAAAAGATTCAGGTATAAAACCACGAGTATAATTTTCAACATTAGGAAGTTAGTAAGCAGCAGATGGCGAGAAATCTAACAGAATATTAAATAGACAATAAATAACAAATCAAGTACAATTATTTAATAAGCTCATTTTAAAGTTAGTCAAATGCTTCAGGGCAGATATTTGAAATTTTTTATTTATCTTATGAACATATATTAGAACAAATGGAAACTTTCTAGTTTCTTAAATCCGCCCACTTAGCAGACTGATAATTTTAAATATGTACAAACATATCACCTTGAAAATGATATAATTTAATCCTTCATAAGAAACAAAACTTATAGAGATAGTAAAGACAAAATTTTACATTAATTTACAAATTTGAAAATTTAATAAACAAGTTCTTAAAAAGATTTTCTTCATTTGTGTCGCCTTATGACTATGATCTTCAGCAAAATAGGACCTTCACTAAATCTGAGTTATTCCCTTGATACTTCTACTAACTACAAAAGCATACCAACCATTTGATAGAATCCCCTGTCTAATTTACCTCAGAAGTTAGCTAGGAACGTTTAAAGTAGTGACTACAAAACAGGTCTCCATGATAATATTTTACCAAATTATGCTTAGTAACCATGATCACGGTATTACTACGATAGCTTAATTTCTAATGCAGATTGGATGGAAAGTCCCCGGATGCAGGCCAAGTTTTCAAGGCGCACTTTCTTGATCGTCCTCGCCAACAAAGCTTTTTGTTACTTTTTGTTCTCCAGCTCTACAAGTTATTCGAAGTTCTAGTGTTTGTCGCCTCCTTAAGAAAATTTTCAAAATGATTCTAGAATTTTTCTGCATTAACTTGAAGCGGAAAAGTACCGTTGCAAAGCCCGGTTTTTAAATTTCTGTTTTCGATAGTTACACTTATTTACACTGTTGTTGAAGTGTAGGCTACTTTACCTAACTCTATACGCTGAAAACTCAAGAAATTAATTCCTCTGATTTCCATTCGATCACTCAAATACTATGCGCATACTTGTAAATAAAAATATATTTAATGAAGTATGTGGCTAACTATAGTGCCCATTCGCTACTTTCTCATTAGTCTCATTTTTTAATCCATAAAAAGTGCCTTTATCTAATTTTAATTAAAATACTTTGTGCCACGTTTAACCGTGGTTAATTTTTCTCTTCAATTCACTATATAGCATCGGTAAGTAAAACCGCAACGAAATTTATTGACGAAGTAGGCAGAATAAATGAGCGCTTTTAAGCAAATGACAGAATTTGTTTTTAGAGTAATTTGTATATATATACAGGTATTGTGTGACAGAAAAAATGTAGGAGGTGCACTGTGTGTGTGTGTGTGGGGGGGGGGACTGGTTTGAGTAGTGAAGGTGGTTGGAGAAAGGGAGAAGAAAGCAGCCGTATACAAAATATATTGACATCATCCGTTTCATCATGTTTGATTTCTAAGTCACATGAGGCGAGTAATTACTCCAGTTAGAGCACGGTGCTCTGCCTTCAACTTTTCGGACGCAGCTCTTAGCTCCTCTAGCAACTACGATGAATAGAATAGTGTATGATTGATAAAATCTGAGAGCTGATTTAATGCATGCGCGTTTGTTTCCTTACCCTCTGATCGGATTCATTGTAGTTGATCCGCTGTGAACTTTGTTGTTGCTGCGCTGGCATCCGTCGAGCCTCATCCACTTTAGTGCGTAATTCAAGAAGTTCAGCTTGCGCCTTTTCGATTTGATTCTTCAACTCCTTGTTATCCGCTTTTTCTGCTTCATAGAGGCGCTTGTAATCTAAATTCGGTTCCTAAAAATATGCATTGATGATGAATAAATTTTCCTATGATAATCTTGGTTTGAAGTAAGAGTTAGGCAGACAAACGTGTGCATGAGTAAATGGGTTAAAATGGCAGCAGTTACGAAGAGAAACATTTTGTTAGGGAGCGGTCTTACCACTGCCCATTGCTTGAATCGGAAGTGATAGGGGAAATATATGGCCTCTTGTTGGCGACGGCTACGATTTTGGGGTTGAGATTGTCTTGGAACTGAATCGTATGGCGACAGCGTCTATTTGTTATTAAAGTATGTTGAGTCATAATTGTTACTTCTATTAATTCAGTAGTGGTGTAGTAGTTACTCCAGATAGCCCTTACCAACATACAACAGAAGCTAACACATGATTTCATTAGAGGTTCATGCGTGCTAAGTCAAATGGGCACCACCGACGAGACGTTAGGGGGCATAATTATCCCTTTAGCTTAAATGCGTAATATAGTTAGTACTTTTGAAGCCATTTAATTCGTGTTATAGTCATTTTTATCGTTGTTTTACTGCATTTATGTGATTTTCTTTTAGAACCCCACTGTTCAATTATTTCGGTTGATTTACCAACTGGAGATTTCATTTTTCAGGAATTAATTTTGCAATTTCGAAAACTAGTTTGGTATGAATCTGTCAGGTTTATGGAACCTGAAAATCACCAACATTATAATTAGATTTGTTTTTATTGTTCTCTTTTAAAATTGAAAATTATGTTGATAATTTGCATAATAAGAACAATTTAATCCTGATGCAGGGACATAAATAGATCGGTTAGTAGTATCAACATTATACTTTAGCTATAAAATAGGACGACTTATGGACGTTTTGGTTATTTTGCCTAATTTTCATATATTATAAGCATCAGACATTAGTAGTGGCCATGTTCATTTTAAAACCTCACTCCTCTAACTGACGTTTGTGAAGTGATATTAATTTTTAATATTCAGTGATGCAGACTTAGGCAGATCTGCCAATAGTTAATCGAGGGGTAACGAATGCAACGCCGTTAACTTTTACAACTGATTTTCCTTTCCTTAGATATTTATGCCATTCCTCCCCACCCTCCCCCACATTCTATATTCGTTCATAATTTTGAAATTTAGAGACAACAAGAAAATCCTTTTATATCAAAGCTTCGATCGATTATAGGTAGATTCGCATTTTCACTTAAAGGTTATGTAAAACAGTACTTTCGGAACCAAATGTACACATCTAGGTCACGGGTTAAGGTACCTTTGCATACACACGCCCGAACCTAAGAATGGTCTATCAATTTTATACCTAGCTACTTTTTTTCAACAAGATCGCATACTACTGAAAACCTTTCGAGATAAAATAAACAGCTGAATTAATAGAAGCATAATCTACTAAGTCTTACAACTTGTTTACCGATTGGCTAGGCTCTTAATGAGAAAATAGGCCACTTTTAGTTGGGACCTGTTGCTAAATACAAGTGACAAGAATGGTACTCAAGGTTTAGTAATGAGCAACGTTTTATTGCCTACTTGCCAACTCAATGATCTCGAGAAAGTAAGTCATAGGGCTCAGTATGACCACATGAACTGGCCATCAGTAAGACTGGGCAAGGTATTTCAAAAATTCAGAGAGATTGGTGAGGAATAATTTTCTTCATTGGTGAATGCAAGACTTCTTATTCGTGTTACGTTCACAAGTTAAAGTTAATAAGAAGAACACGAATTTGACAAGCTATTTAACGGTCTGGCAGAGAATTTATCAGACAGAACGAATTATTAATTTTGAGCTAAGTAAACCAGGAAATCAAACCCTCTTTTACATCTGTTTCCTCCTCCTCTCTGTGAAGCCCAAAGTCAGCTAAAGGGTTAAATCATTATTCTGTCCACCCTCTCGACTTTTTGTCACTTTGATGTGAATCGCTCTTCTTTTCTCCCTATCATTTCTTCTCACTTTAATGTTCCTCGCTTCTGTGAAGCCCGAAGTCAGCTAAAGGGCTAATGATAAATACCAAAATGCTTGCTATTTGAAAAAATAAATAAAAAATGAAGCCTTCACTCTCTCCCTCTTACTACTTCTAATTAAGCTTTCACTAACTTGACCACTACAGACTATCTGTTAGCACCTCAATCTCATGGGTAGTCCGGTTAGTAGTAGAAACCACTATGCATATGCCATAAAGAGGTAAGCTCTGTTGTCCATTGAATTGAAAACTTAGCTGAGTTCGAGGTATTCAGTGGCGAAGATTCATTTTAATATGCCTTTCGTTGTTAAGCATTTAAAAAGTCGTTTCAAATTTATTTTATGCCAGAATAAAAATATATAAAGTTGCCAGATTAAATTGTGCGTCCCTCCAATATTTAAAGAAATTCAGTTTTATTGATTGCCACACCAGCGCCTCTGCTGAATTACAGAACGGAAATTTTGTATGCTCTCAAATTTGAAGTTCCTTGCTAATCAATTTCTTTTTCGCCAAAATTCTAGACCCAAACAGTTATGATTTTATTGTATCGGGTATAGTTCAATGATTAGTAAAAAAAGAATTTTTTCTCTACAGGATTACAAGTGCATGGGGTGTTGATGGCAGGGTCTCCATTGTGTGAAAAAGTTAAAACTTCTATGTTTGGCGTCATTTATTCTATCCAACCTTAACAAAATTTTTTCTCCACTCACCACGTGGTGCCGAAAGGGAGCTAGAGGGAGGGGGGCAGTGATTTTATTTAAACACAGACTGGAAACAGAGTGTTAAATTTTTGAAAGTAATAATATTAATAATAATAAGTAGAGAATAAGTTCTTTCAAATGAATATTTTCTGTTTTCCCCGTTAACAAATAAAGTTCTGATTCGTCAAGGTCACTACTATCCAGCTGGCAAATTAACCAGTCTATTGTTCACTTTCGTTTTGGATGAACCTGCCGTGCTTAACGTGCCTTTGTAAGTTTCAAAAACTTGCTCATGGCATGGAAATAAATCAAGGTGACATGACCAGCTACCTAATTAAATTAACCAATCAACCAACTTGGAATATCTTTGCAATTACTTAATTCAGAAGGCTACTTTTAAGAAACTTCACAACTCAAATCTCCCAAAATTCAAAATATTAAGACTGTTCACATTTTGACTTCATTATATCAAACTCAATTTTTATCTCACTAAAAAGCTAAGCAGTTTCGTGTGCTCGATGTCTACGAAAATTAACTCCTAAAAAATCTTTCTTGCAAAAAATTATTTTACTGTTATTTTCTGATATACAATAATTTGTAAAAAATTGTTTGGTTTTAATTTCTTTGTTGCTTTTATGTTGGAAGATAAATATGACAAACTTAATTTGTACCCCAGTCACGTTTTTATATTTTTCAAAATCGTTTCAATTACTATTTCGCAGAAGTTAGCGCGTTTCTATAAAGTAATTTTTTCTCTGAAAACTTGTATCAAATTAAAACACATTTTTACAATCGTGAAACTTGCTATGAAGGTTAGAAACCATCATATTGGATCAAATTTCCATTTTTTCATTCGTTGCAGTAGTATTTTGAAAGAACGAGCAAAATACTCTTCTCAAACTTTCACATTAATTTGCTTGAAAATGCCGGGCACTTTTTGGTCAATGAAATATAAACAAAAATTGCGCTTGTGAAACTGAATATATTTAAAATTCTATAAGGTCCAAAGTGAAGTCTTGATTTCAACCGTTAAAAAATGAACATTCATTCGTCAAGCATCTACAGCAAGTCAGTAACATTGTTAATGTGGTTATCCAGCACAATATGTTCATTCAAAATATTATTCCACTAATACTATCCATATTCTAGTTTACAATGAAAAATTACTAAAATTCATTGGCAGAAACGTGCGAGCACTTATATACCAGGAATCTCTACAAAATTTAAGCGAAAAAATAAATCAACTACAATAATGCATGAATACTGATATTGGATAATTTATCACATTCAACAAAATTAAAAGCTTAATGGAATTCGAGTTTATTGTTATCTTTTTTCTGCCTTGCCTCATCTTAAATATCATGGCGTTTTCACTGACATTCTGTTGTAAACGCATTTACAAAAAAGGAATCCTTCTTTATTAAATAGAATCCCAGACTGGAATAGGTTTAACAAACTTCAGTCGAAATTGTTTAACTAAAAGCCTGCAGTGTGTCCCCATTTTGTGGACCTAAACCACATTGAATTCTCCGTTACCGACTTAATCGTGTGGACAACCTCATTAGCAGTAGAACACCTCAAAATATCCGAAATCCACAATCACATCCCTAAAGATCTTCCTTCCCTCTACATATTCCTTATTATTCTCAGTCATCTCGGATATAGAAATATGTAACGAGAGGAGTTGTTCTTAAGTCAAAATCACCAGTCGTTAATCATCACCTCGCAGAAAAGCTTGCATATGTGGCACACAGCGCGCTTTCATATTAGGTCTCTCACTAGCCACCCACTCTAAATGTGTAATTGTTAATCACAAAGAAGATTCTTCTTCTCGGTCTTGTCTCTAGTTAGAACTTGATTAAATGTAATACTTGGGCTACTTACTGCAGCACGAGCATACGAGGAGGGTGGTGGATTAACAAGAGCTCCAGTGGTAGCCGAAGGAGGGACTGAAGATGACGAGAGAACAGTTGAAGCTGAGGAGGAAGAAGTGTAACTCGGTGAAGGTCGAGAGTAGTAGCCGCTGCTGCCCGTTGTACTGCTATTTGTACTGCTATTGTTTAGATTCACCGGTGTACCCGAAGAGGCTGTATAGCGCGAGCGATTCACCATGGGTGATTCTGTACTCTAAAGGGGGGGGGGTAATGGATATTGAACGGATTTGATGAAAGCGATTCTTAAGTTTATCAGTCAATTAGAACATGCGCAGTTAAATGAAGAGGTTACAGAAAATTGACAAAAAACTCAATGTAATCATACTTTCTCTAGGATTCTTTCCGCCCATTTAATGCTCTCCGTGTTCTTCATATATCATGCCATTCCTTCTTGCCACTACTGGCAAAGAAAGTTATCTCTTTACCCTAGTTCATGCAATCTTTTCCAACAACTCAGTTTTTTTAAACGATAACATAAACACTTTTTATTTTATCTTTTACAATTAACTATAGAATAAAAAAGGGAATAGCTTTGGATTCTAAAATAATAAGTAGCCTAAACTTGAAAATCTACTTTTTATTAAAAACAGTATTTCCGTTTAATTCATGCTTTCCTTTAACTCAAGCAACTGAATTATATTTTCAAATGGTGCTTTGACTAACAGCTAGAATTTACACTGAGCACATTTCTTGTGCAATTTTCCGCAGTAGAGTGTAATTTTTTTCTCTTTTGGTATTGGCAGTGATTTTTTGTTATATCACTTTGCAACAGTGTTCCAATTATTTATCCAATGCGAGAAAATTCTCGAATTTCATATCGATTTCGCACAAAGTTAGTATCACGTTTGAGAAATTACCAACCATGAGTAGGCGAACAGCTAAACGCAAGATTTTCAGATTTATTCTCTCCACTACGACAAACAACTTCGAAATTGAAGTTGCTTTGGAATTAACTTGGTACTTTCTAGTGCATTACACTCCCCCATCCCCCCTTACCAAAATGTTACCATTTTTGTAATGAAATCAGAAATTAAGCAGATAATTGGCACGAATTTCTAAAACTAGGTTACATTTTAGGTCCTGATATCTGAATGTGAGGGAAATTCATATTTAAGAAGTTTAAACTGGTGAGTACAGAGTGCGCAATTTGCACTCTTAAACAATGTTAGCTTTCAAGAGGCATAACTTTACTTTTTTATTATTTCAGGCTACAAGAAAATTTTACTCAAGACACCAAATGCATAAAAAATGCGGAAATCGATAAATTAGGGAAGAGCCTAGGTTATCGTGGGTATATCCTCATCCATGGTAATTGGAGTCAAACAAAGAAGATTGAGCATTAGGGCATTCCAGAACAAACTAGCCTCCTTGAATGAATTAGGTCACTTAAATACATATGCGTTTAAAACATGACACTTTTGTTCTGACTCATGCAACACTTCTTTGTTCGTTGTTCAATAAATTATTCAGAATCTTCATAATTATTTTAAGTTGAAAATATTTTTCCCCAATACAACGGGCAATAATTGTAATTTAGATATTAAAATTTTTCTATACCATAAAAGAGTGCTTATTATTTGAAATTTTTTATAACTCGTTTAAGGTTAAGGCCAACAAGTAACTTCATAAAAATGCATTGGATGAAGTAGCTCTTATCGACATTTTCGATCTATTTAAAAAGGCGTGTCCATTTCTTTCTAAGGTCACCAAACGGTGGGAATTAGTTATAATTGGTTAAGCATTTCTGTGTTTTTTTAGACAAATATTGGTAGTAGCGAAATTCCTGCGAAAATGCTTGTATTTCGTTCACGGTTGCAAATTATCCTTAAACACATTTAACACCCTTTCTTAGCAAAAGGGGACAAAATCCCGCAAGCAGACAGGATCATCAGACAAAAATCTAAATTTAGCCTTTTGGCAATGAAGTCTTAAGAACAAAACTTGTTTATGTCTGCACAACCCTCGTACCACATGCTTATATTTGACCTAATAGCCTCTTCAGGTGTCAGTGAAATACATCAAGCATTATCTACCGTTAAAGAGTCTTAATCACCTTCTCCGCAATATTATATCTGAGTTCTAAAACTCTTTATCTAATCAATGGTAAAGGATGATTCTTAAATAAAACGTTTTAAGTTCTATTTCGTCTTTAAACGATTCATCTCTTAGCCTACAAGTGAGTGGGAATTATGGAATACTGAAAAGAAATGGGAGAATACTGAAAATTGACGAACGCTTTTGGAGATTCCACGTGCAGATAGATGTAATCATTCAATAATGAAATTATTAATGCATTTAGTTAGTGGTTTTCCTCGCATGCGTCAAGGGGCGATAGCAAAGGCAAACATTGCAATATTTATCCATGTTATATTGATAATCGATGACAGCAGTGCTAATAATGAAATAATTAACAATTCAAATAATATCACCAAGCTAAACCTACACATGCCCGATAGGTATTCTGAAAATCAATAACATATAGCCAAGAGTTAGGGAAACTATTGGTTAACCCCTATCAATTGTCCCCTTTGCTTTATTTTTCTTTTGTTGAAACTATTAATAATTACTCGCACCTATAAGATGGCATATTTATCTACTCTAATATTGTTATTAATTCTCAATTTATTACGTTGCACAATCATTATTCATTTAATTTATCCCACATTTATTTCAGCAAGGCATATAGATTTAAATGTATTAAAGGACTAAAAACATTTCATGCACGATTCTGTCTTTTCTCATTTTGAAAGGAATTATGTGAAAAATCAGGAATTTCATTACTAGTTTTGATTCAATTTTTGTGAGAAGATTAACAATTTTAATGATATTTATAAGACTAGTGAAGGCATTACGATTAAATATTATAATTTCATGTCTTTCATAATAAATGTGAAAGAAATATAAGTATTTTTTTCATTTCTATATGCCAAAGTAGTATTCATGAATAGAAATGAAAAAGTGGGGAAACGATTCTAAATTAAGGGCTTGATTCAAAGTAATTTGTTTTAAATGCAATTCCCATCAAATTTAAGCCGTTGGCGATCAACGTGTTTTATTTACATGAGAATTCAGACATGTGGAAAGCCTGCGATTCAGGATATCTTCTGAGCGGTTCAAAGTCAAATAACTAATTTTCTGTGTTAATGAAGGGAGATATGTTGTTGCATATAATTAGTAAAAGGTGATGGCCGTTCTACGAATTACAATGAAAGAATGCCCAAATGCTAGAAAGGAGATCACAAAGTCGTCTAATACACTGAACAGGTTTCACTCATTGCCCGATTCTTATCCTCAATGTGATCTTTAAATGACCGCACTTATTGCTAAAATGTGTGTTAATTAAGTGAGCTTATTTTTGCATATTTCGCATCTACCTACCTAGCTTATACCAGCTAGCAGGCTTGTGACTCGAAAGATATAAAGTGGCTCCAAGATCTAATTAGCTAAACGTGGTTTATTGGTGAAATTTTTGGTCAAGAAGAGGAATTTGTCCTTGAAGTCGCATTTGTATCAGTTTCCACCAAATCGCCTGTAAGGCAATGAACCAGGTGTAGCAACCTTTGCTACCTCAAGGTATTATGATTCTGAAGGTAATGAGATGCAGGTGAATACTCCTGCAATAAAACTGGATTTGTTTTCAAGATCGGAGTCTCTCAGTAGGGCCTACTATTAAAAATAATCACCTCCATGTTTAAACAATGGGTTCTATATGACTATTTGACCAAAAGTATGTGCAAGAGTTTCGATCAAACCTCTTTATCCTTAAGAGTGAAAAAAATAATACATATTAAGCAAATTCAACTTGTCCCAATAAAAGGATATACTGTAGCAAATCATTTTGAAAAACAAGCACAACACATTTCATTAATGATAAAAGCCCAATCAAGTATCTCCAATTGCCTGGCAAGAATTCCTGGAATTTATTTCTCAGGCACCACTAGTCGTCTGCATCCATATAGGAGATGAAGTTCCATCACTGTTCTCTTACTCGCTGGTCAAGTGTTCGTTAAATAAAATATTTAGTTGAATTTCTCTCCTTAAATTAAGTAAGCGATAAGTAGAAGGTTTCCTGCCTTCTTCCTAATGGGTCTGAGGAACTGTCGATATAATATAACCCAATGGGCACCTTATATGATTCATTTGGGTAAGTGGGGG